ATCATTTATACAAAGTTTTTGTTTGGTCAGAATCATTGATGCATATTGTTCCAAAGCAAAGTGACAAACATGTTAAAAACCAATGGGGCCATAAGCAGAAAGCCAGAAACGGTTGGATACGGCAAAAGAAAGTATCCCACGTTGATAATGATGTATTTAACAAAAGACTTAACGAAATTATCCTCAGCGAATAGTGATTTGTCATTTGACTTGCCAACTATGTTTTAAAATTACTATTAGGTACGCTAATTGAAGTTCTAACCAACTCTTAATCAATTTCTGTTGTAAATATAATGACCCAATATCCTAAATCTCTCCATTAATTAATCTTGGTTAGTTATATGATATCCAGCCGCTCAACTTTCCTTGACATTGAAAGTTGAAAAACTACTTCACTTTTAAATTGATTCAATAAATCAACCAACTCCCACCGCCTATTTTTACTTATAGTTTCTGGTTTTAATTTCACAAAGACTAAATTGCTGAAATTTTAATTGCAAGCTCACTACCTACCACTTTCCCAACCAAAATCTTTTTTCGAAGAATCCCCTTCATCTTCATGCCATGCTTTGTTGGTTGAGTTGGGACCAGACCACTGTCATGGTCTTGTTGCAACATATGATCACAAAACCAAACCAACCACCAGCTGGGGGTGGTGGGGGGGCAGAGGTAATGGGCTCAGCCCCTCTCTTCCTAGCTGTTGCGTAAACAAGTCTGGTAGGTAATTGCGTGCTGAAATACACAACTTGAGGTTTTATATGCGTGGCTCATGTTTATCTCAGAATTACCCAAATGGAACAAATTAGGTCAGTGATTAAGATAGAGGGCCTCATTAAACAAACTCACCACTTTCCAGGCAGTGTTTGTTTATCAACATTTGTTCTTCTGATCCAATATTTCAATGAAACATATCAGCTGAGATGTCGAATATAATATCAGACAGGTTGCTTGCTGTCATTGTTGTAAACGTCACTAGTGTTGCCGTTACATGATTAAATGAAAAGTTGATCAACAACAACGACATCCTCTTGTTAACGGAATTGCAGATCATCATTTTAAAGGGATAAGAATTAAAAAAGACACTTTCCTTCATTCCAAGTTTGCAACTCACGCAGAAGAAGAGTTTCCTTATCTTTTTTGTGTGTGTGTGCGTGCGTGTGTGGTCATGGGATGAATTTGACACACAAGCAACCCTAAAACCATATATTATCCAATTTCTCATCTTGCTTAGGCTGCCAGTGCCACCTCATCTTATTATCTTAATCCCGATCCTTTACAACAGTGAACGACCCTACTCTTCTCTCTTTATGAAATCCAGCTTCTTGGGCCCGCATTTTATAGTCTTGTTCTTTGCCAAATGACACCAATAACTAATTACATGCGCGCGTGAACGACTGTGAACCGTTGATTGATATGAGCCTAACGATAAGTCTCATACTAAATCTTATCTAGAAAGCGTCTAGGCATGCATGATAAGAATTTTTGTAGTATTGTTTTAGTTGTCACGTATAATTAGTCCTCCTAGTAAAAGTAATCTAATGAGTTATGGCATGGTAAATCTCTAAAACCTTGATGAAAGTATGCTTACTGAGTTTGAAGTTTTCACTTCAAAGGCGAAATATAAGGCTAGCTGGCTGGCCTTATAAAAATGCTAACTATGTGTTTGGGCCTAACCTTTTTGGACGTTCATAATATAATTGGGTTCCAAACACACACAATGTAGATGCCTAATTTAATTGGGCCGATTACTTAAATAAAAGATGGGCCAGAAGGCATTTGTTTTTTTTTTTGAGTGTGGGGTCCAGCATGTTCGGCAGTAAACGTGAAAAAGGATAATAATTAGAATTTCTTCTTTGTGCACCGACTTCTTTACTCACCACACCCTATCTCTAATTCTGTTTAATTTTAAACAAAATGATGTTATCGATAATATGTTGATATCATTGTGATCAACAAATAAAACGACATATTAACCATCCATTTTTGCCGACATCAATAATATATCGACGTTCATTTTTAATTAATGACCCGATGTGCTGCACATAGTTTTTTCTAATTTTTTTTAATTTATAGAAAACAGCTACTAATCATGCGGTCGGCCCTAAATCTTAATTATCTATATCTTGTCAACAAACAAAGAACGTAGAGGCCATCCGATCCAAGATCCGACCCCATCAATATTTGCCAGCCCATAACGTATCGAGAGAGAGAGAGAGAGAGAGAGAGAGGGCTCTGGGGCCTTTTTTTTTTTTTTGATAAACATAGGGGGCAAAGCCCCAAGAACAAACAAAAAAGAGACTTAAGAACAAATTAAACGGGATCTGGGAATCCCAATCAAGTCCTCATCCAAGAGGTCACTTGCCCAAGGAGGAGCAATATCAAGGACACAAACACCAAGGTCCAGGTTGTGACTCCAGTTAGCAAGCCTATCTGCGACACAGTTTATCTCCCTGTAAATGTGATGGACCACACAATCCCCAACTTGCTTCATTAGGGCTCTGGGGCCTTTGTTAATGAAGAAAACTGTCATATATCTCAATGGTTATCGTGACATGGTCCCTCAAATATTGAAGCATACTATTACGAAAGCTACACAAATTTGGACACAAGTAAATATGAGTGACAAAAAAGTAAAAAATTTCACCAACGTCCCAATCAAGATATGTCTCCACTCCCAACAGGCCAACAGGCCAACAGGCCAACATGTACAGGAGTGAACCATAAACTGCATACGTAGCCTGCCTCGTGATCGTGAAAAATTATGTGCTTCTGATCAATTCTGAATATTTCTGATAGATCGATCATCGATATTATTATTGTGTGACTAATGACTAATTTTGATGTTCCTAGCTATATATGTTCTCTGTTTTAATACCGGATTTGGTATATATATATATATATATAGACGCTTTTGTTGTTGTGTGCTTGAATTATATTTGGTATATCTTTAATATTTGTTTCCATTATAGCCTCACAAATATTCAACAAAAGCTTGGTTTGTATTGTCCTAATTAAAAAGAAACCCAATTGACACGTGCTTACGTGTGTGCTAACTAAGGGCCCGTAATTATGAACTTTGAATGTTGCCCTATACTCATCCATTAATTATCATTAGGCTAATTGGTTTTCATAGCCGTAATTTTCACTTTTTGAGGAATGGCGTATTTGGAATTGCTTTCTTTCGTCACTTTGCTTCACTTAAACTCAAATTATTTTAAACGCTATGATCTCCTGACCGTAAACTCATATATGATTAACAACTTACTTTTAAAGATAAATGATTCGAATAAGTGAAACACATACTAATACATTTTGGGTAAACAAATTACTCAGGGGAGTGTGTATGAGTACGTACTCTTCTTCTTTTTTAGGTATGACAAAAAACGCATGAATTTGGTGAAACCGATAGGAGATATTTGGGGTTTTTGTACAAGTGTACTAGTAACAATTTGATAGGCAATTCTTACTCCATCATGCTTAAAGACACGAGACAGAAGATTCAAGCAACACAACTTTTATATTTAACCCTATATATGTAACAAATTTAGCAGAATTGGGGAAAATAATTATAGCAGTGGTCCTACTTTTAACTTCATCGATCGATGACCTCACGAATGCCAAATGAAGCGATATACAGCCTTTTTAATTAATTAATTTGGATGCACGCAAAACATGGAGGTAAGGTAAATGCCTCACAATTTAATCCCATCAGGAGGTAAGTAAGGTAAATTATCATTTGGTCTCTAAATGGTAACTCTTAATCAAATTTACTATAAATAAAATGCACGATGACAGATATCCGAATAAGAGGATAACTATATATATAGACACATGTGTTTGTTGTATATAGATACAGAGATTGAATAATTACTTTTCAATAATTGGCATATTGCTGCTCCCCATCGTTCACGTGAGGTACTTAGGGTTGACTATGTTGGGGACAATTTCCAACTAGTTGCAAATTTGTTGGTAGGTCATCAATAATGTAAACTCTCATGTTTGGCTACTCTTTTTTGTTTTCTTTTTTTTTTCTTTTGGGTTACTTACTGGTCCCATAGAATTAAAAAAAATATATAAATACATTCATGATTTTTGGCATATTGTTATCAAATTTTTATTAATTGCGTTTGTTTTCATAATAATTGTTTATTATGACTTTGGGAAAAAACTGCATTTTTTTTTTATAGTTATATATAAATAATTTTCTGGTGAGATACTGAAAGATTTTCAATAAAATAATATAGATATATATGGAAAAGGTGTGGGGAGGGGTTGGGCGCAAGGTTTGTCCCTTGTCTGTACAAGCATTGATTGTCTTTTGGCAATACTCCGGTCAGGACTTGTTCCCATCCACACTGTAACCCATATTTCATCTGCTTAACATTCCTTCCTGTTCCTCCCATAACATAATACAAAGAAAAAATACACAGTAATCCTCATCACTCCATCCCCCTTAATTACAACTCACCATATCAGTTACCTAGCTAGCTCTCTTGGATACTTAACTTGATACATATAATTCTATTGCGCGTTGGCACGGATGTTTCAAATGTAGAAGTATTATAATTGAAGCACTGAGTAATTTGTGGTTTAACACGAGCCCTAGAACCAGAGAAATATCAAAGCATTAGAGAGTACATGCATGTGGTGGTGGCTCAGATCGATTGTCCATTAAGTTGAGAGTACAAAGCAATATATATATATATATATATATATCGGTTATAATTGAGATGATCATTGGTTCAAATCAAGGTGTGTAGTGATGGATGGAAATGTGATGTGATCCTAAAATATTTGTGTGGCCAGCATGCAACGTTGAGTTGTACTACTGTGGCTAGGCTAGCTGAGGTGCCACTACTATTTATTTTTCTCACTGGGGGCCGGATTGTGGGGTGAAATTACTAACTTTGCAGATAGGGTTTTGATATCAATATGGGGTCTGCGTAGTAGCATTCCACACATCTCCTTTTGGTTTGTCTTTTTTAACTTGTTTGTTTGGGTCTCAAGAAGTCACGTGAATGCCTTCAACTCTCTCTCTCTCTCTCTCTCTCTCTCTCTGCTATAGCTAATCTCTTCTTTTAAAAGAGTAACACCACTCTACAGCTTAGGCCCTTTTGCGTTCCTCTCTTTTTAATTTCTATGTCTCCCTCTACTTCTCCGACCTCTTCCATCTTTACTGGAGTAACATATAAGATTTGATTGACTAGCCTTCTCCTAATTTGCTAGCTTTCTCCTTTTGATCTCTCTCCCAATGGCTCCACCTTCCCCTTTTCTTGAGCTCAGTGGAGATGGTGGAGATCATGATCATCAATACCACCATCTCTTCAATCTAGAACCTCAAACTTCTTTCTCTTCTTTCTCTTCTTCCTCTCTTTCCAGCCCCATATTCTTAACTCCATCTCAAGCCCAAGCACCATCCGATCACTATAGAGAACCACAAAACTTTCAATTCCAACTCCTAGAGGTACTATTACTATATAATTTAATTATGTGATCTCTATATCTTATTTGGTTTCCTGTACCTAATGAATTCTCTTATTTTTTAGGCTGATCATCATAACATTGTCTCGTATGGCGGATCATGTGATCACGACCCTAAAACCCTCGAAAACGAAAGTGGCAGTGGTACTATTCTGAAATTAAGCATTTCCAAGAATGGAGCTGGCAGAAATGGAAATCCAAGTACTGATAAGTGGATGTCTTCAAAGATGAGGATGATGAGGAAGATGACAAACCCGGATCAAACTTCGAGCAGCTGTACATCCAGCGATGATAAACCAGTTGCAATGAAGTTATCAATATCACACAAGTCTGAAGAGCAGAAGCCGCAGCATCTTGACATGATCAGCTGCAGCAACAATTCATCAAACAACATGAACAACAACGTCCCAATTATTAGGGTTTGCTCTGATTGCAACACTACTAAGACACCTCTATGGAGGAGCGGACCAAGAGGCCCCAAGGTAATTCATTACTTAATCTTCTGTCTAATTTATTGCTAACTTCAACTATACAAAGATAAAAGAGTTAATTTGATAACTATTCTAATTGAAGATAAAATTTTCTTTCTTTTTATTTACTTATTAATTTGCACAATTATGGTGGAGCAGTCACTTTGCAACGCCTGTGGAATTCGGCAAAGGAAGGCGAGGCGGGCCATGGCGGCTGCTGCAGCTGCAGCAAGCGGCACAACCCTGGCTGCTGCGCCATCTATGAAGAGTACTAGTAAGGTGCAACACAAAGACAATAAACCAAGAGTTGCTTCTACTGTCCCGTTCAAGAAAAGGCCGTACAATAAACTCAGCTCAACCCCATCATCAAAAGGCAGACCACCAAAGAAGCTTTGTTTTGAGGATTTCGCAATAAGCATGAACAATAACCATTCATCATCTGCCACTAGCACCACCACTACTAGCCTTCAACGAGTTTTCCCACAAGACGAGAAGGAAGCTGCGATCCTGCTCATGGCTCTATCTTGTGGACTTGTTCATGGTTGAATTAATTTCGACACCGATCTTCGAGTTTAATTAGTCCACAACAAGTACTTCTTTTGTAGTAGTAGTAGTATTTAGTGATATTATTATTAGGACTAAACCAAGTTCAGGTTAGAGAGAGTGTGAGAGAGTAACAAAATCAGTGATGATTAGGAACCGAATGAATTAGTTAGTTCAATAAAAACCAAAAAATAAATGAAGTAAATGTTGTGATGATGTTATGAGAGCGTATTAATTATATGGTGTTTTGTTTTGGGCAAGCAGAAATAGAATTCACCATGCAAATTATGGTGCTAGCTGCTTGTTCAATATAAATGCCTTGTACGTTGCGTTATCATTTTGATCAATTAATATTGTCATCCTATATATATATATATATAAAACTAATAAATTTTTCCAAAGGTTTGCCGCATATATATATATACTCGTTTTGCTTTCCTTGTCCTCTTGTTGTTTGATTTCAGTGCTGCCCGCAGTTAGCTGGTACAAATCTTAGTTGTGAAGTGAAACAAGATAGGGTTTTTTCCATTTACTATATCAGAGAACCATTGAAGAGGTACCATCGATCACTGACCAGCAATTAATGCCAAGTTTGGAATACATTGTAGAGAACTGCCAAGTTTGGAATACATTGTAGAGAACCAAAATATTTTTGAGTCACATGACCGTTAGAATTAGTGGATATACTGCATAATGCAGTAGGGCACGAAGATTGAGGGGTGCAGATCATCCCAAACATACATATGAGAGAGAGAGAGAGAGAGAGAGAGAGAGAGAGAGAGAGAGAGAGAACTCTAATACATGAGGTTTAATAATCAAAGAGAACTTTGGGGAATATATATGTAGGGTGTTTCATATGAGAAAGGAACAACTGAGCTTTTTACAGTCTGCAGTTGATTTCTTTTTCGTTTTGTTTTGTTGCTGAAAAGCTTTATGGGGCTTACTGGCTAAGCAATAATGACGGTGATGATTCGGAGTTGATATATATATATATATATATGTATGTATGTATGTATAAATGCAGCTTTATGGGCTGGAAAGGTTGTCGCCTAGAGGCTCGTTGTCTCAGACATTGTCTGGATTCGAAGTTGATATTAAAGAGAGGTAGTAGTACTAGCAGCAGCAGCATAGTGGTACAAAGGAAGGAGAAGGGACTAAACTTGTGGTATATGCGTGAGTGTACAGTGACTCTTGAGCCCTAGCTACAGTTAAGTACTTCAAAGGGATAGATAAGTTGCACAATACCAGACGATATAACTACTTCGAGTTGGCTCGCTCTGTGTTTTTGTTGGAGGCAAATGTGGTAATGTATGGGGTAGTATGACTTTATATATGAAGAAGGCATCCAGCTAAGTTTTCTTTTGGCAGTTCGAAATATTTTCAGATTCACTCACATCGCACGGCCAAAAAGGAAGAAATTGGAACCCATTTTTCCATCCATCATCCTCGCCATTTGAGCTAACCTTAATGACAAGTTCATATACTCCATTTAGACAATGACGTTAAATAATTCATCAAGAACTTGTATCCAATGAAGAAAATGAATTGTGAAGATTTTCCAAAGGCTCAACGAATTGGTGTTAGATCACTCCCCAATAATTATTTGGGTTTTTGAACTTAGGCAATATATCATGATCTATAGTAGGAATGGGACCACTTTCTCATGTTTTTTAATTTTAATTTTTAACTTCTGGTTAGGACAGGTTATTTTGTTTTCTCTGGTGTTGAAAGTTCGGGTTCTTTATTCATGGAGGTTTTGTTGCTAGTTCCTTGTTCGCGAGAGAGAAAACAAAAAAAGTACGCTCGCCAGAGAGAAAAGAAGAAGAAGCAGTTTTGGAAATTAAAAAAAAAAATTATAATTTGATTTAAAAGTTTGATGATATGTAGTGCTCGTGTGTTAAGTAGTTAAATTGTTTGAGTGATTTAGATTTACCGAAATACGAATAAATGCATAAAACTTAAAATGTAGAGGTTCGTATCTCATATTTCAAATGCCCAAGGGAAAGGAAAACAAATCAATTCGTGTTTTTGTGTTTAGACAATGGGAAACTTTCCTTGAGAAATAAAAAATTCATGAAAAAAAAGGAAAAAAAGAAAAATTAAATCATTAACAAAAAGAAAGAAAATGGAAAATTATTGAAAATATCCCCATGATTGACGACACATACTTTTTATCTAGGGAACATTGACTTTGAGTGGTGATTTCCCCACTCCAATTTTATCTATTTACATTCTATTTTATTACTAAAAAAGGAGTATAAGTGGATAAAATTGGAGTGGGGAAATCATTTAACCATAAAAAAGCATACCTTTATACTTCAACAAAACGACAGGTCGTACGTACTATTCCGACCCCATTTTTCTCAACATTTTGAAGTTAGATACGCGAACTGTTAATTTGGTAAAATCAGTTAATTAACGACTAAAGCAGACTGTTTGAGAGTTCAACAGATTCCCTTCTTGGCTCTGCACAAACAATCAAGCCCAGAGAGAGAGAGAGAGAGAGAGAGAGAGAGAGAGCGCGCTAGCCCCAAATAGCTCAGACTCAAAAGCAAAAATGGCGGACCCACCACCACCACCATTACCGCCAAAGGAATTGCCAATCAATCGCTACAAGTTCATTTGGCGAGTCCTCTTGATCTCCAATCTTGCTCTCGGAGGTCAGCTTCCCCGCTCTTTTTCGCCTTTACTTTCTGTGTGTTTCTTGAGCTAGATTAGATTATGGCTTATGGGGTTGCAATTTAGAGTCTTTTATCAATTTTGGGTAATGGGTTATGTTCATCTAAGCAGAAGCTCCGTTTAAATGATTTGGAACGCGTGTTTTCTCATTTTGGTGCACAATGTGTTTGATTTATTGACTCAGAGAACCCTGTTATATAAATTTTGTCAAGCTGTTGTTTAACTTTTTCTTTAGGCTATTATTGTTTGATGGGTAATTTGTTCTCATTGTTGTTTAATGATATGATCGCATAATCTAGTTAGACTAAGGCTGAGCACAAATACGCCCAATCTTAAAGTACAAAATTTTATACATAAGGACAGCATTCAAGATAATGAGGGAAAAAGTTAAGCCTTTTTAGCCCCTTGTCCGATGCATTTTCAGGCAAGCTCTTTAAGGTGTTTTTGGGAATAAAGTTTGGTTCTCCGAATCACCACCAATTAATGTCAAAGGCAACTGATTTCAGACAGCTCCAATATGCATACGTATTTAATGCCCAAAAAAATGTGGTCATTCTCATTCTTGTGGTGTGCTAATGGGGAATCAATTTATTAAATCTGGAAGGCCGTGGATAGAGCTTAGATACTTAAAAACCAGCTGGAGTAAGTTGACATTTATGTGCAAATCTTACTTGGCGGAAGATTATTGATGTGTGAATGTTTGCCATCTATAGAAAAAATGGTTTCATATTTCTTGGGCCAAGATACAGGCTGTATGCTTTTCTGTCTTGTGATTGACATAAATCTTGCCAGAAGTATACATCCATTTGTTGTTTGGGCATTTCTCTCTTAATCCAATCGTCTTAGATTATGCCCTTTCTATTGAAAGGGGGTGGGGGTTGTTAAAGCAGGTTTTTTGGGAAAATATAATTGATGTGGAGAAGTATATTTTTTGGGAAAATATAATTGATGTGGAGAAGTATACATCCATTTATTCCTTTTGGGCTTCTCTCTCTCTCTCTCTCAATCTAATCTTATTGGTGTTTTCCCTATCTGTTAAAAGGGTGCTACTTTTGTTGTTTTGAAGATAGCCATCTTTGTATGAAATGTCTCTTCTATCTTTCTTATTTGCGAGTGGATTGAATGAGTTATGTGACTGGATCTCTGGTTTGATTTTCCCATAGGAAGGATTAGCCCCCTCCCTACCCTGATAATGAGAGGCTACTGCCATCTGGACAAACCCACTTTCCATTCCTCTTTACCTTGATGACATGAAGCCAACTGGTTAATTATCAGATGGTGTGCCTATTTTGCCACTTCACCATTGAGTAATTGGGGTTAAACTCTTGATCTCTAAGGTTCTATTGATGAATTCATCTCCTCAGTACTTAGTTTTACCCTTTCTTTTCCTTGATTGATAATTTGTCACAGTATGAATAACAAAAATCATAGTCAAACTCAAAAGTTAACTTCAGTTTCATTCTTTGTGGAGTTGTGGTGGTTTCGAATCGATACTATGACTCTAACTTCGTCGACAGGAAATACAGGATTTTACTGACTTCCATCTGACCTCTTGCAGCTTACATGTTTATTGGGGCTCGGAAGAGAGATATTGGCATAGTAAATAGGAAATCTGCAGAAACAGGCGCTAAAAATCACAAAGCTGTAGTTGAAGTGCCCTCTCCTCCTGCAACAACTACTACAAGTACAACTTCTGAGACATGGGATATGTGAAGGTGCAGCAGCCTGCCTATCCCTGGAGACCGGCAACAGTAACATTTCAAGTAGACGTTAGAAGGGAAAATGAATTCAAAGTCAAGGATCCTGAAGAGAATAATCGAAATGATGAAAAGACAATCTTAAAGCTTTATCCGTGCAAAATCCGCACCAAGCTTTTAATTGGTGCTTCTCTTTACTGACAGACGCTTATACAGAGAAATTTTGTTTCGAAGTATAGAACATAGCACTTAGGTCTTGTTATGTTGGGAGATGGATAGTTTTGGCTTGAGTAACATGTTTGCAGCAGATTACATGCCAATTTTTGCGTGATATAAGGACCCCTTGTCCATGAGAATTATCTGTATCTTCTTACATTGGGAATTTGTTGCAAAATATTAGATTATTTATTTCTTCCCAAATAGTTAGTGTGGAATTAATGGAGAAAAATTCATTAAGATTACTACTAATGAAGATCATTAAGCCTCCTTTGGGAGCCCGACCAGTTCTAAGGCACCCAAGGACAAAAATTAAGCAAACAACAAGAGAGAGAGAATGAAAGAAATAAAGATTTTGTCATTTGCCTTTTGAGGGCTTTGAGTTTGAGACTTTGATGTGGTTAACAATTAATAAAGGGCTCCACCATTGTTGTGTCCTCCAACTCCCTCCACTAACGATATCCACACTTCCCATCCAATCCCATCTGCCCTCTTCGAGGCTTGAACCATTCATCCAAATTTCAAAGCTAATTGAAAAAAAAAAAAGAAAAAAAAAAAAGAATTTTCCATACTGGCCCTGGTCTTGCACAGTTAACCTCCCATTACGAATCTTTATCTCTACAATGCCAGGAACCATCCTAGTTTCAGGTACCAACTAACAGCTAAGTTTTCAACTGTAATTCAAACATGGGCATGGCAGTTATGTTATGTCTAACATAAATATTAACTTTTTTCTTTCATATGAATATTGAATTCCACTTCAGTTCTTGAATTCATGGACCTTCCATCTTCATCATCTTCTTCCTCAATATCCATAAAGGGTGAGCAATTATTTCTCCTCTGAATTCAGTTGCCTTCTTTAAATGTCTATCTAAAAACTTCAACAATTTAACAAAGTTCTCACTGTATACATATGCACTTGCAGTTTCCATGGGGAAAAGAGAGTGTCAAACTTGGGACAAGGGAGACTTCACCTTGTAATAATAACAGCAAAACTTATTTTAGTCCTAAATGCTATTGTTATTGGTTGAATATCTAATTAATCCATGTTGTGTTTATGAACAGCCCATTGACGACCCTTCGTGACAATTTGGTTGTTCTTCTTCAAGATGCCGAGGGAAATGAGATATTAGACGCAGGTTTATCTGTCAAACAATCCCTTATATATAGCTAGATGAACCCTTTTATCAATTCTAAAACTGAGGCAGATGAATATATGTATGATCATGTGTGGATCAGGTGTTGAGACCAAGTCCATAGTCGAGAAGGGTCTTTGGGACGCGTTCTTTCCACTCAAAGGAGGTGGGTTGTTGCATATGAAGTTACAGTTTGTACTCAACGAAGAAGAGCGCATCCGAATCCGTTCGATGGTACTCTTTTGTGGTTCTGATTTATTTTTAATGATAAATTTCAGTTTGTACTCAAAATTGTTATTGTTGTTGGCATTTACTACATCATCTGAACTTGCTTGCAGAGAGAATCTGCACTAAAAAAGAAACTTGGGGAGTTCATCTATAGCAATCCCAGTAGTGTGCAAATTACTCCTGGTGCTGGGACAAATCTTGCATCATCTTTGTGCCTTCCCAATGAGATCTCAGGTTCGATCTTGATAACCCAACAAGAAAATTAGAATTTTTTTTTTTGGGGACAGAAAATTAGAATCTTCAGGCAGAAAAAAGTAACATAACAAGAACAGTCAAATAGTCTGACAAGTCCTTAGTTTCAGTATGGTATTAGATTTACCTTTCTTGAATGACTCTTTGGATAGAAGCCATAAGCATTGAAAAGATAGTAATTGGGATTGGAAGTACTCATCATGATCAGAAGTAAAATTAACTCAATTTGGAGAATGGAATGTTTCCACTTTAAGTAAAAAGAAGCTTGAAAAGTACGTTCACGAGTTCTTTTAACGATCATTTAACGTGTTTTAGAGTGATGCAGATAGAAATGAGGAGACTTCATCAGGCATTACTCTGCATCAGTGGGTTGACCTCCCTCTGACTGAATCATGTCAAGGGAATTTAGTTGAGGAGACTGAGGCACAGCCACTTCCTGCTAATGTTCCAGCCAAGGCCAAATATGCTAGTGAATCTTCAAAACTATTAAGAAGCTCACAATCAATGGTTCACGCAATAAGCCTTCCTAATCTTCAGGAAGATAAGCCTCATAACCTCGAGAAGCAGGGTCCAATCCAGAAAACTCCTAGCAATGTAAAGAAAATGATAAGTGCCTTCGAAAGTGGTTCAGCTGAGGTATGTCTGCATGTTGCTTTGAAACAGATATCGATATGTCATTGCAAGTGGATATAACTTGTTTTTTCCACGAGTTTGATGCATACTGTTTCCTTCACGCACAGGATATGAGGCCTTGCATCAAACCGCCACCAAATGAAGTTCAATCGAACAGTATTAAAGCAGGAGCTCCCCTGAAAATCCATAATTTAAAAGAAGACAATACGGTGGATACAGAAACTGCAAAGTCAATATTAGAAGAGGTTGTGAAGTCTTTTTCTTCAGGGGACTTGCTACTTGACCCAACATCTGGTGATAAAAGTGGTGAGCAAATTAATTTACTTGGAGCTTCAGATGGGACTAAATCATCACATCCCACTGTGATAAAAAATAAAGTCAAACTATTGCATGTACATCAAGAAGTTGGCATAAAGAAAAAGAACTTCCACAAAGATTTCATTACAACATCAAGATGTGAAACAGTTCAAGTTTCAGAGAAGATTCTTAGTAAGCATAGGCACCAACCAATTAATACGGGCCATGGAAGGCGAAATTCTGGTGGTATTCCTGTTATAGAGGAGAGTCGACTAGAAATTTCTTCCCGAAATATTTCTCAAATCATCGACATTCAAGAAGCTTCAACTAGTGCCAATGTGTGTACATCAGTAGTAAACTGTGAAGATAGGCAAATTCCCTTTGAGAGCTCTGGTGCCTGGATATTCCCAGATGAAGCAATACGTGTCTGCATAACAACTAGTGGTAAAAAATTAATGGATTTACTAGGAGGTTGCAGAGAGAAGCCAAACATCCAGCAAGGAAGGATGAATGTTTCTCTACCAGAAAATTCAGAAGAGGTACATGAATTTGCCAGCTGACTTTCTGGTTACTCATTAGTCATCATTGTTGAAGCATTTTGATTTGATATATTTGATTTAACTGTATCTCAATTAAAACTTTCGGCACTTCATGGTGAAGGAAAAGATTATAATTGACATGAGAATGATATTCTGAACGGCGTTAAAACTTCAAATGACGCGATTTTCGTTGTATCGAACATGGTGTGGTGGACCATTGAACTAGTATTCTAACAGTCTGATCATAATGTTCATGCCATCTTTTTTAGCAGAATGTGAAGAATCACAGACCAAGAAAATCAAAGGTTGATCATCCAGAGGAAGCTGAAACTTCTGGTGGCAAAGTTGGACAGGTTAAAATTCCTCTCCTAAATTCTTTAGTGAAATGATTTGTAGTTCTTATGTGACTTCTTCTCCTCAAGGCTAAGATTTAAGACAGAGTAAGACTACAAGTAACAAAGAAACAGAGTGCAAAGTGTTAGGGAAGTAGTGCTGATATATAATTTCTTCATTTTAATCCTCCCATTTCTCTTATCAGGCAATAAAAGTTGCAATCATGATTGGCTTTGGCACACTAGTTCTCCTGACAAGACAAAGAAAAAACAGGTAAGTATATTGTTTTTTATATAAAAATATAAAAAGATCAGCAGGTGAAGTTTCTCCAAGGGGTGGGGGTGTATATGCTGACTTGAATGGCCATTTTACGTAATTGCAGATGAAATAACCGGCAGATGCACTTTGGTTATCATCCCAAGGGGTGGGGTGAGAAGATTTTGGAACCACCATTTATTTATTTATTTTGATATGAAAAGTTTAGGGCAATTGTCCCTACACTTGCGGCTGTGTGTCCGATTTTGCCTCTCCTCTAACTCTTCATTTGATAACCTCTTTCCATGCGATTTAAATAGTTTTTTTTTTTTTTTTGTTGTTGGAACGATTTAAATAGTTTTGAATGCCGAAATTGACATTTGAATAAATAATTACAATAAACAAGACTAATATAATATCTCACTTGAACAACATCCAAACAACAATAATCACTTGGCATAAAAAAAAAAAAGCAAAAAGAAGCTGCTAAAGACATTAAAAGAATCTTCACGTCACAATAAAAGTTAATTTCATTGTAATGCAGGCCCGGCTCAGTCATATCTAAATAGAGATCCATGATTTGGGGCAAATGTGTCAATAAATTTACTAATAATCTTCCCAGCTTTGAGTCTATAAAATCTTCTTTAGACCGTTTCAACATCAAACATAAAACCTTGTTATATTTTGGGTTAATTTCAATTTAGTACCCTGAACTCTTACCTTTAAGACATGTTTGCTCTTGCACTCTCAATTTTTTTGGTAAGCTGGGTGGGGACAAGCCCCCAAAGCAGAAGCAATTACAAAATAGAAACTAGACGCATCTTACAGACACCTAACAAGTCATCAAGTACAGCTGGAGTGATCCAAGCAGGGGGCTCGTCCAGTTCGTAGTAGTCCAATTTTAATGATTACATACCCTAAGCTTTTCAATTTTGTGCAATTTGGTTCCGGCGTTAACTTCATCGTCAAAATTTACGTTAATTGCTTGTGTGATAAGCCTAGATCTCACCTATTTACTTATTTCAATCTCAATTGAAGGGTATTTTATTAAAAAAATGGTTTAGTATTAATGCGTGTAATGTGTTCTTCATGGCGAGAAGACATCAGATACTCGAAAATACTTTGCAACTGATGTCGAAATAAGCGAATAGGTGAGACCCTGTTTGTGCCTGATAAATCTCGGCCATGAGCTGACCGAAGGAGCCCTTTCTCTCGGCCCTGGCACTTGTTTGCAGAGGCTGAAACACAGCGTTTCGCCAGGGTATTTCGCTTTCTTAAAAATAAAAGAAGGAAATGCTAAGGCATGATCATCTCGGCCTCAAGCATAGGCCGAGGCCGAGGCCGAACAAATTTGCGGCCAAGGCATTAAAGGCAAATCATCACGTGACAGCAGGGTCCCAGGCTTCATTTAATGAAGTAGTGCCTGTTTAATGCAGCAAAACCCATTGGCCACAAAGTAGCATTTAATGCATGAGGGAAGGTGGGAAGTGACTGAAGTCAGGATTTGGTGATGAAGATTAGAGTGATTAGACGTGGACATTCTCACAAGAATTCTGACAGCTTGAGATGTTGGTTCACCAGCTATCCAGGCCATAAATGCGTCTCCACGGCCAGAGGTTCAGAACCCACGATCGAGAGCGGCGGCCGAGATTCACCGGGATTTCTGGAGTCTCACCACCATACTTCACGATCCCAAATGTCGATTGGACTGCCCACTTGCGCTAATCAGACTCCACTATGCGTAAATTCAGCCTCGATTACTCATCCAGGGACTCTTCCTATAAATACAAGACTCGAGCTACATTCAAAAGGTTCAA